GTTTTTACTTTTTAATTTACAATACTTTTTTAAAACTTCAAGCATTAATTTTAAAATTTTTTTACATGCAATAATTTTTACTAAACGCGGCATTTTTCCGATGATTTTGTTGCTGTCTTTTTACAAGTTTTAGTTAAACGTAAATCAGAGCATTGCATCAGGTTAAACTCAGATTGGTTTTTAGTTTCTTTTAACGGGTTTTATACTAAAATAACCAACATTAGATTAGAAATGATGCGTTAAAAAATTTAAAAATATTTTATCGTAAAAAATAAGTTGTTGCAACAATATTGTTTCAAGAAATAATTTTTATAAAATTGTTTTGTTTAGTAATAAATACTTGAAAACAGCATGTATACGTATAAAAAACTTCAGTATACGTATGTACTAAAGTATACCGTATGTACTAAAGCGCAAAAGAATACAGTATACAGTATACCGTATGTACTAAAGCGCAAAGGAATTTAATTTTCTGCGATTTTTGCAGATTTTTTATGATTAAAGGTTTAATTTAATTAAATATTTTTAAACGTAAAAACAAAATATAGATTGCATGTTAAATAAGTTTTATATAAAACTTTTCTAATTCACTTTTATGTTGAGTTGTTTTTAAACTTTGTGTATACACGATGTACTTAAGAACAGCTTTGTAAAATACACGAGTTTCAAAAGGTTTGTAAAAACCATTAATTAAACTTTTATTTTGCCGAGTAAATTATTTTATTTTATATAAAGAGCTAAGATATATTGTATCTAAAAAAAACTCTAAATAATATGTTTTAAGTTTTTCAACAAATCTGATTAAAATAGCTCTTTATTATTGCAGTGTAAATTTTTTATTGCCAAAAATCTTTCAGCGCGAATTGTTCGCGCTACTATTAAAACTAAATGTCGTTTAGACTGGAATATTTTTTATGTTTGGTTCAGTCTACACTGAAATATGCAGTTAAGTAGCCAAGGATTATGTCTTAATTGGTCAAAATTTGAATCTTTTAATTTGTTAATATGTTAAAAGATGAGTTATGTATTTTTTTCATAAAAGAATATAAGTATTTGTACACATTCTTCGTTTTATTTTATTAAATATAGATAAACGATACTTAATAAACCATTATATTACCTCTTCTATACACAGTTTTAAATTTAGAATTGATACTTGCATTAATATCTTTGTTTTTAGCTAGAGATTTTAAAAGTTAATAAAAGTATATTTAAATATCTTTTTTTTTTTTTTGTAAAAATTGGCTTTTTAGTTTTTAAAAAGTCTGAAAACCTAAAATAATAAATAAAATTTAAAATCTCAAACTAAATATGGACTATAACACAATTAGGACAATGTGCATAATTTTTTTAAAAATGAATTAAAAGATAAGTATGAGTTTATCTTTGATGTTTCTATGTGACTTTTTGACTAGTTTTCAGAAATTTATATCAACCAAAATTTATTAACTTGTTGTCACGTGGTCACCATCTTAAAATAAGACGTGATAATGTTCTAAACTGTCTTTCAAGACACAACCAATTACATATTAGATCAGAAAAATACTGGATTGAACTACCCAAGCAAGTAGCTTTATACTCAACTGAACTTTCTTTTATAATTAGATTAGATCACTGGTTGAGGATAAAATTCGGAAAGAATATTAATAAAACTGTTTGTTTATAGTAGGGTGTATTTCCTGTTCGCTGCATGTTTATATTATCTGCTCGCTGTATGTTTATATTTTACAGCTACAACTATAATATATAATTATATATTATGTAGCCATTTTAAAAAAATATTTTTTTATTACCTGATTAAAAAAACTATTTTTAAGACTTTATCTTGAATGTTAAAATGTAAATGTTATACATTGTTTTACTTATTTGTTATTTGATGTTTAAAATATTTTGATAAAAATTTTATAGTTGATAAAACACATTTCTTCAAAATAATATTTATTAGTAGGTACAAATAGTATATATATAAAACAGTTTGAAAAAATGCTTAACTTGCAACGTATGAGTGGATACACATCAGTGTTGACCGTGTTTAACCAAGAAATGCAATCAGATCATTTTATGAAGTAAGTTTATTATTATTCTACATTATTGTGTTTTTAGGATATTTAATCACATTAAAAATTACTTTTTATCTTATTTAGCTGAGGTAAGCAGGCTTCGTAATAAAAAAATGCTTAAAAGTTTTAGAAGTTACAAGTTTCATCTTTTTATTATTAAATCTTCAAAATTATTTATATTAATTATTATTTTAACTTTTATATTTTTGTTTTGTTTTCTCTTTTATTTTGTATTCATGATGTTTATAGTTATGTTCATTAAACTTTAAAATTGTCTGGATTTTATTCTGCTAATTTTTTTCTATGCTTTTATTGTAACTTCATTAAATATTTTTATGAATGATAAATTTCTTACTTGGTTACATATATTTATTTTATTATTAAGTCATTATTAAATTGATAAACACTTTTATTATTGAAGCTTATCATTGATTACTACAGTTTTATTACTGAAAGTCCTCCAGGAAGGTAAAGACTGGTACTGCATTGAATAAAAAGTATAAACAGCTACAAAAAAGAATTTTAAGAATTATAATTTGTATAATCAAATGATTATTTGAATGTTATATAAGTAATGAACGGTAGTGTTCACAAAGTTTCTATTTTTACATACCTAAATATTTTATATTAATAGTTTTTCATAAAAATCCTAAATATCTGTGTTTCTCTCATTTATTCATTAATATCCATTTATATGTTGCATGTTCAAGAGCAAAAACCATTTGTAGTTTGTTTTTCAATGTTGATAAACATCTGATATAAAGTACCAGATATACTTTCTATGAGGTTATAGTAATCTGATATGACGTATCAGATTATTAAAAGCCTTTATGTTTGTGTTAAGGTTACCTATGTAAACCCAACGTCCAAACAGGGATGCGGAGTTTTAAAAAGACTACGCATTCACATGTCACAAAAAGATTACTTCAAATATCGTGAATTTTATAATAGGTATCATTGATGTAATGAATTGGGAGGCTGCTCAATTTTTCGGCTTTTTATTGAAAAAATTGTGCCGGCAAATATCAAAAAGAATGAACAAGCAACAAGTTTTTTGGTTTCATTTTATTTCTAAAAATCCTTATGCATTTTGATTATATCTTGATTTTAGAAATTATATTTGTACAAATTTAATAATATATTTTTTTAGACATGGATTTTATTTACATCAATTGAAGATATTTTTATATAACCTTTATAAAAAAATTAAAATATTCAAAATATGAAAATAATTTATTTCTATTAGTTTTTATAAATATTACTTATAATAATAATATCAATAAGATGACATCTTTTTTTAATGTTATGCAATTTTCTTTTTATTAATTTAATGTGTAGATGTATATAGTCGTTCTATTGTTTTAAGGTTAGATTGTTATATTGGTTTAAGAATATATTATTCTATTGGTTTAAGATTAAGTTAAGGTCAGCTATTTAATCTACAGCATATCTAAAGCTGTGCAAATTACAGTGAGTGAAGACTTAAACAGTAGAATGTGCAAATTGAATGAAAATAGAACAAGTTTAATAAATTGATAGGACACTAATAATTTTTTATTTTTGTTTTTTAGGTATTAACAGGTTGTACTTAACGACTTACTTTTTTGCAACGAAATCAAAAGAACCTTCAACTACAAACAATTTCAAAATAATTTTCATAGCAACATTTTCTGAGAAATATTTTCCCTTTATTTTATTTACTAATTAGAATTAGATTACATACATTTCATAGTTTCCTTAAGTTATTTTAGGAGATTGTATATATATGGGTTTTTTGAGCAAACTGTGGTCAAAATATACTTATATTTCAGTAATATAACTTTGTCATTATTTATCTAAAAATCTATAACTAGGTATCAAAAGATAGGTGTATTAAAGGAGTATTTGTTTTTAACTATTTAAAGCAATCATATTTAAATAAATCACTATTTAAAAATTGCTAAAAATTCATCCATAAAAGCGTGTATTTAATAGAAGTAGTAGCTTTTTCTGTGCAAAAAATTGTTATTATTTCATTTTACATCCTAAAAAAACAGTAGGAGTTTATCCTATAACTATGGTGGATGTAGTGGTGATGGATTAATACATCCTACACAATGAATTACAGTGACCGCCTGGTTTGAAGTTTCCCCACATCAGTTTCTTTTTTATATATACTTAATTGTATATATAAAAGATAATTTTTAGTTAGTAAAACCTCTAGGGGAATAGAAAAATGTATGAAAAATAAAAAATAAAAAGTATAGTTTTTAGTTGAAAATATCCGCCATTTTTAATAAAATAGCTCTAACTTGCTAATTAAATACCGGCATTTTCTGATTTTAAACCTACTCTGGTGTGCACAACGACTTGAACAATTTATGTGCTGTTTGTTTTAAAACCTTTAGTAAAAAATCAGCAAAGCTTCATAAAATAACTAAAGCTATTGAAGAAAGAATAAAAACTTTTATTTGGGATAGCTATGATAAAAATTTAGGAAACCATCCTGAAGTTATTTTTAGCAGTTGTTAAAAAAATCTTTATATAAAAATTTTTCAGGTTAGTTGATAACATTAATAAAAAACTATATTTAAGACTTAGTGTTTAAAAGTTTTATTTTTATCAATTTTGTAAAAAGAGCTGTGTCTCAATGATTCATTGAGACTCAGCTCCTTATTTTTGTTGATTTAATGAATGATGCAATTTTTATAAATTTAAAAAATTTTAAACAATTTGTTATATATAACAAGCTGTTTAAAATTCCGATATATAAGAACTAATATGTTATTGATGTGTTTATTAATATTGTGTTATATTTTTTTATATTACTAATTTAAATAGCTTTAGAACTATTTGTTTAGATAAACCGTCAAGATATCAGAAAAACTTCAGATGTTTCAGAAATATCAAATGATATTAATATTATTACTTCCTAGTTAAATGAAGAATAATAACAAAAGG